TCTCCAAACTGAGGCTGTCCAAAGAGCTATCTACTGCAGGTAAAATATTCATTGTTTATAACATTTTTCACAGAGCTCAACTCCAAATCTTCTGACCTGTCACCTTAATAGCCTTCAATCACCATTTGACCACATTTTTAACTGCTATACCTGTTAGAATATTAGAGGAGAGAAGCTGGCACACTACGGCTGGTTTTGAATGTGGGAGGAGCTGCGGTGGAAACAGTCTGTGATGGAGAACTACTCAGCCCAGTTGCTGCTGCTGCTCGTCACAACAACAGAATCATTGGAGTGTTTTTGTGATTACAGTGGAAATGATCTCTCCTGACTAGAGATTGACATTACTAATTATYCCCAAGAACTCAAGTTAACCATTTAATGCCTGCCACCAAGCAAAAGCATCACTAAAAAAAACTGAGTTTTAAGAAAGTGCATTTGTGAAGCAATGCATTTTTCATCCTTAGTATGTTAAAGCTGAAACGTGCACACCATAGTTGGTGCATAATGCATCGCTCCCAGTCATCTCTGTTGGAGATGGGTCCATATGTGCCTGTAAGAATTTACACAGCTGGCTGATTTTGCAGGAGACAAAAAGCTGGAATATCTCATGTGAAATGTTGAAGTTTAACTGTAGAAAGACATGAGTGCTGCAAATTTATCTGTTACTGCTCTAAAGCTAAGGCATTAGGATCCACTGTAATCATATTTTATTTTAAAACTGTTTTGGTCATAATTTCATTCTGACTAATTAAAATAAATGTTACATTTTTTTAACGATCACAAGCCCTGTAATATTTTTCTGACATTCTGAGATTACTAAAACTAGAAATTATTCTGGTTACAAACTAGGCCTTTTTTCTATTTATTGTAATTATTTACAGTAGCTGTCCAAGGTTCTGAAAGGAATTAACTTTTTTATTCTTAAAGTTATTGTAGAGCTCCTTTGAGTAAAACTGAATACAGCACTTAAGAAGAAATTGCATGTTTTGCACTTGAATACTTAACAGTGACTGATTCACAGTTACTGTACTGCTAGAATTTGTCATTGTGCAGTCCTTTCTATTACTTATTTTTACACACTAGTGTATATACAGCACTTATGCACCAAAAGTGTATCAATGATCAGTGGGAGGTATAGAACACTACAACGCACTGCAGTGGCTGAGAATTAAACCCCCAACCCACTAATTGAAAAAAAAAAACATCCACCCTTCCCGAAGACAAGCCTGTCTCATTTTTAGTGTTTCTTAAATGTAACAGACTAAAATGRTCACATATGCCTCAGGAAGATCTCAGGTGTTTTTAGTTACACAATCTTAACTATGAGTGCCAAGGCTGCCAGACGCTTGTTGTTCAAGGCAATAGGTTAGATCTTTTGAAGTGGGGTTCTCTGGAAAGGGCATGAAAAAATAACATCAAACCTGTCGTAGATAGCTCTTTAAACCTTCTTCAACTTTCCTAGCAGTTCATACAATTTTGTTTTAAACCTTTAAATTGCCCATTTCTAAATAAGCAAATATTTTTTAGGACTCAAAGGTTATTTACAAGGAAAAAAATAAGGACAGCAGCAGCTAGCTGTAGCACATCAGGTGAGGCCTAGGACACGTCCAGCAGGAATAGCATCACATTAATGCAGAATAATTGTGAAATGCAAAACTGCCAGCAGTGTTAAGTTCATAAAACATGACAAGTTTGTGCTCAGAGTTTGTGTAGTCAACCACTGTCAGCTACTATCACGCCAAACTCTAGCTCAATATCTGTAATAAAGCCATGTTTAGTTGTGCACTGATTGGGCCAGATACCAGCATTTTTATAAGCTAATTCACAATAACGATACTGKTGTTGATACTGCATTGAACGTGTTACAGTTTACATTTCAAGTGAAACGTTTGTCAGTTCCATGTTTAAGTTGAAAAAAAAAAAACCCACATTATTACTTTTATTTATAAATGTTTAAACAATATATATCATGCTGTATGTTTGATTTAATCAAGTCAGTGGGGCTGAAGATCTATAAGGAGTCATATTGTTCTACGTTTTATAAAAAATGTGTCTTTAAAGTCATTGTGTAATGCTTAGGTTCTAACTCAGCAAGCACTCTGTATCAGTACTCAGTACCCAATTTGAAGTATTTACTCTCAGTTTGAGGAAAAACTGGTATCAGGGCACTTTTAGTATTTTTGTCTACCGGTAGTTAGATTAGCTGTACTGGCCATCTTGAATTGGGTAGAGTCCAAAAGGTAAAAAAAGTGTAGATGTTCAGCAAAGTATTACTTCATGAGAGCTTCTTTAAAATCCATCTTTTGGCAATAAATGTATTTTGCTAAAAGATCATCACAATTGATTTAAATAGCCAATGGTCATTTTTGTGTTGCACTCAAATGATGTGTTAGGGATAATGCTCAGCTGCAACTCCAATTAATTTTRGTTCAAAAATTAGCTCATTAATTAGGTTAAACTAGAAACATTTCTCATAGTTTCGTTTTATTTCAGTTTCTGAAGGTTTCATTTCAATCTGATCAGGGATTTGTGAGATTTTCCGTCGACCATACAAACACATAAAGACACAGAGGAACAAGAGCAAAACCATCATCACTCTGTCCTCAACCTTTCAGTGGTGGCTGTTAAAGCTTAGAAAAAAAGCTGCAGGAGTAAACAGAGAAAACGGCCGCATCCAGTTCCTTGGGTCCTCCCAGTGACAAACATTTTGTGTAGCTGCTGTCTTTTAAAAGCCAACTACCCCCCCACACACACTCCCTCCCCATATCATCTTCATCACAAGTTTTTAACCATGAGATTCGACACCMCTGCTTTGCTTTTCATGCGGGAACAAAAAAAAAATGCTACGGAGGCAGTGCTGCTGTGCAAACGGTGACCAAACATCTGCTGGTGAGCTTTGTTAGCCACCTCCTGCAGATGTTGTCATGGAAACACTCTTTTTGGGGTTGACTGTGTCTTTTCTCTCACACCATGCAGCACTGGGATGGTAATGCTCAGCTCAGCACCGCACAGTTCAGGTTTTCCATGTGACTCTCGCTCTTACATAATGTTCAGCTGGAGGGGAAAGCCCTTTACTGTAAATTACAGTTTACTGTATCGAGGGTTACTGAGGCTACCCTTTGATTTAGCTCAAATAAATCCACTCACATGTATGCAGTCATGTTTATTCTATAGGGGAACTAAATGTTGCAAATAGCACAACTTAAAAATGTGGAAAACAGGTTTTGACTTAGTAGATCATGATTATCTGTTATTCTGCTTCTTTTATAACCTTATTCTCCTTCTGGTGATTTAAAAACTGTGTATATTTCAAGCAGATTTTCCAGGATATCCCCTGACACACTGATAGGGTGTTTCTTCTTCTTTTTTAATAAAAGCAATCAGGAGGTCTGTTAGGATTGGTCTGTGGGTTCGACTTTAGAGCTGACATCACCTTAAAGGGGGGAGCTGTGAGCTCTGCGCCGCAGTCGGTGCTGAGATGAATGCACAATATTTAAATYAAGCCTACCTGGTTCTCTCACTCCACCCTGTGGACTCACCGAGGCAGCGCAAAACACAGAGGAACAAAGGAGGAAGTTCAAGAGGCCCCCTTTTAGAAAACGTCCTTTCAATTTTTCCATAAAGATCAGTAAAATTCGTCAACCTACCTGCTCAGCTCACGCCTACAAGCTGACGGAGAAATTGTGGTGTTGCAGTTGTGCAAAAGTCAAGCTTTTATACTTGAAATAAATTATTTTCAAGCACAACATACAGACTTTTACAGTCATGAACTGAACACTTCCACAATCTGTCAAACAAAATGTTGAATCATCTAGTCTTAGCTGCCTTAACTTACTAGAAAAATCCAAAACACTTAAACTCAACCTTAAATATAAAAGCCTAGAGTGATATTTTAATAACTCTTTTGATAGAAATAATCACTTTAAAGCCTAAAGCCTAAACAAAGAAAACCTTTTAATTTCCTGCATATGTGCTGCATAATAATTTGGCTAAAAGCAAGAAAGATTATCACTAAATAAGAATAACTTATTATAATTATTAAAAGTGAAACTAACTGTTTTTGGTAGCACTAAAGTAAAAAAAAACAAATTAATTAAAAAAATATTGAAAATAAGAAAATTAAACGAGACAATTATCCTTGAGGAAACAATGCTCATTTTGGCTAATTATGCACTTTTAACCTCTTAGAAGAAAACATTATCTTGTATATTATTCTGTATCTAACTTTTTATTATCACCTGCAGCCAAAGGAAAAAGGTGCCTGTTTCTCTGTGCCATTAGCAAAATATCTCATAAACCACTGAACATATTTCAATAAAACTCTAAGTTTGTTGTATCATCTACAGTAGAAGTGACTAAACTTTAGACTCAACCCAGTTCCAGATGGACTCAGTGATTTTTACAGACACTGAGCTGAAATTGCTAGTGCTAGTAGCTGGCTGTCATTCACAACACATACTTGAGAAATTGCTTGAGATTCTGCTGTTTTCAAGGTTCGACCAAAAAAATGGCTATAATCTGTCATTTCTCAGGTGACATTTCAGCAAATGCTTGCCTCTATTAATGTTTTTTTTTGTTTTGTCAAGATAAAGTTACATGTAATTTTCTGCACACCTGTCTAATCAACAAAACTGTTGTCACTGCCACAATAAACTAATGGAAAAAAATAAATAACACAATACCCATTTAAACCCTTTGATTTATTGTTTGATTCCATCCTGCCTGCAAAGCAGCATTAAATGCAAAATTGTAGTGATTGATATAGTGCAAATTAAAAACAAAAGATCTTGGTTGCCTGTGGAAGTATTTATAAACTGCTGCCATATGTAAAAGATGACAGGTAGAAAAAAAACATCCTGTCAGTGAGACAGATAGGATGGATGTGTTTCTCCCTCTTTCAGCACCATGGACAGCTCCAGAGGGCTTGTTTTTCTCTAATGATCCAACAGGGGGCGCAGTAGTCACACCGCCTGCTGCACGTGGCGCTTACAGAGCAGGAAATACTCACTTTAATGGAGACATTTAAATTGTATTTCCACCTCCACCTCCTTAACTAGAATGTTTTTTATTGTCATTGTTTTTTTTTTAGGGCAAGCTTGTATTTATAATCAGCTTTTCTTGTCAAGACGTCTCACGGCCTCGGCTTCTGATTCGAGTTGCGCGCGCGTTCTGTCCGAGCATTACGGTAAACCAAAAACGGAGGAGGAGAGACAGACCGTGAACGACAAGGAACCTTTTACGCAACATGTGTACACGCTGGCTTTCAAAAATGATACCCCTGAAGTTACTTGTGTGATTTTTTTTCCCGACCCGAGAGGAGCTACGGTTATCACAGCTGGCCCTCATCCACTCCACCTAACCCCCCGCGACTGCGCGCGCGCTGCTCACCGTGTCCTGGTTCTGGCTGTGGTTCCCCGACGGACGGACGAGCTGCGGTGGACTGAGCCGTGAGGCTCCGGACTGATGTCTCTGCCCGTTAGGAACCTAAAGTGTCTCTCTCCGGTCATGTGCCAGTGTAAGCTCATCTGCAGCAACCGGACCCTGTCTCTCATGTTCGGATGCAAGGTAAGCTGCTGCTGCTGCTGCTGCTGMTGMTGATGATGCTGATGCTGGTGGTGGTTCTGAAACCGGTACATCAATTTGTACAATGATGGAACAAGAACCACCAGGAGAAGGCCTCTGGAGGAAAGCGGCGTTTATTTATTTATTTATTTATTTATTTATTTATTTATTTATTTATTTATTTATTTATTTATTTATTTATTTGTTTGTCTGAGGTTGATTACCTTATGTGACTTATTTATTTATTACAGTGAGCGATTTCACTCACCTGCGCCTCAGTTCTGTTTCCAATCACATCACCTTTGTTTCCTCTCATAATCTGCTTCTGTTCGCACAGCCATCTGTGGGAGGCTGTTTAGTTAAAGCTTTATTGGTTACTATCAGATTTCTGTTCACCTCCCAATAACACTGGCTCATATGTTTGCTTTGATACTGAGCAGTAAAGCAAAAATGCTGGTTTTGACCTTGGGAAATGTGCTTTTATGCTCAGGGCCACATAGATATCATTCATTGTCAGAGAAACCGCACACTGAGGTACGATGCCAGATTGAAATTAAGAGGGACATGACATTATATGCATACGGGCTTTATTGTTTGGATTTTTGTATTTATGAAGAGATAGTGGGATCTACTGTTGATCCATCTCCCTYCCTAGCTTCAGGTAATTCCACAGTGGCAGCCAATTTAGAGTTTCCCTCCACATGGCACTCTAATCTGTCAGCTCTACGGAGCCAAATCTGACCACTTGTTTCTGGTCCATGCCAAAATGTTCTTTAAAACACATAAGCATCTAGTTGTAGACATTCTGCCTTTTGTGTTTTTTTATAGTCTGCCTCATTTTTTGCACTTATAGTTTATAGCTGGGTGTTTATGTTATGTTTTATTATGCATGTCCTTCTTGTGAAGAAATACTGCTGGTAAAGTTGATGTATGTTTGCTTTCTGTGTTTCTGAGAGGGTGGTCCTGCTGTGCTCCGTGTTGAGTATCACACGCAGAGATAATCCCATGTCTTGTCTCGTGCACTCGCTCCCTCCTGCATCCAACCCCCCCACCCCCACCTTATTTCCGTCTGAGACACTTGCCTGTAGGAAAACATATCAAATTCCTCCTCCCCTAGTGTCAAGCTGCTACAATCATCAGGACAGACCAGTGAGATCTATTAACTCCACAGCAAACATTTATTCTGCGGAAGAGGGTATCAAGTGGGATTATCAACTCAGCTAAAGGAAATTGTGCCTCTGTGAAACTGTTTCTAACATCCATCCATCCATCCATCCATCCATCCATCCATCCATCCATCCATCCATCCATCCATCCATCCATCCATC